GTCAATCAATTTTTTTATTTAGCCCTAATTGTTTGGGGTAACATTCACTGGGTTATTGGGTAATGAATGTTGCTCCTGGCCGACACAAGCAACATTCACCTGGGTAATTCTAAGTGTGTAGAGGAAATTCAGTATAGGATGTAATTATAACAACCTTTGTATGGTGAAGAAATTACATCTCTAGATTCATATCACTATTGCCTAAAATCGATGATCGTTTAAACTTGATCACAATGTGGTGATCACATCATTCGCTCATTTACCTTGTCAAATACTTATACAGCTACATGCTGTACAAGCGAAAGCCTAGAAGTTCTTATGCAAGCGTACCCCTATTTAACTGAAACAAGAAATGTATATTGGGATCGCAGAGACTCCATTTCCCTTGGCTACCAGTTTCCTTTGTAATCCATTTTCGAAGGTAGCGGTATATTAGATGATGCAACACCAGACATTATGCTCAACCCAACCGTTCATGACTTGATAGCTTCCATCAGAGCGGCCACGCCTTGTCGAGGTGGTCCTCGAAGTGTTCGTCACTAAAAGGGACCTCCGCTTTTCCAAAGTTTTTGCTGTCGTTCAAAGCCACACGAACTACGTCCGTGAGTTGTTCCCACATGATCAAGTCCTGGTACTCGCCGTCCCACCGGGCGAAATTCATATACGGAGAGCCCAAGGTTGTCTGATATTGGAAGCGGAGAGACGTGTTGGAGCCGTAAATGTAAGTGCGATGATATCTTCGCCCCTCCATTCGATAACCAGCAAAATTGGAAGCCCAAATTTTAGTTTCCTTGAAGTACTTTTTGTCGGACTTGGACATGGAGACTCCGACAATCTTAGGTGTCTCCAAGTCGGGGTTGTCAATCCATACAACAACGTTCTTCCAGTCATGGCGTCTCGTGGGAAAATCCATCCAAAAGCCTTTCGGAAAGTACCACGCGTACATAATGGCCCACAGGTCCTTGTACCATCCAGCTCGACCGTAGACTTGCGAGCCCTTGGGCGCATATTTACAGGCGTCGTTCCCATTTGTCCCCTTGAGCCCGCCTGTAACTTCTCCAGCAGCATTTACGGCAGGAAAAGACACACAAGCGATTTCCGAAGTATACAGCTGCGGCTTGAACTTGATGGCGGCCTTTTGAGAGATCGTGACAGGCTCGGGTTGAGGAATAGGTTCGATCTTGTCATGATCGACGGTCGCACTAGCACAAGCAATCAGTGCAGCGAAGAGTGTGGTGGCAAAGGCTCTTAGCTTCATCTCGGCCCGGAGAATTAGAGAATGCGCTGTATCGAGCGGCGCTGGCTTGATAACTGTCCAGCACACTATGAAACATATGAGGATGCAATTTGAGATGGGATTTCCCGCAATATGGCACGCCGCCGAATGGTAAATCATCTAGTCTATTAGTAAATTTGGTCAGGCTGACTGCAACTGTTTTACTGTGAATACCGAAGAATGAGGGATGGACAGCCCAAACGGATTAATTCCACGGTACTGAATTTGAGATTTCCTACGTAATACCATAAAAAGATTGGCTGTTCCAACCTAGCGACATGTACAACATACAAACATCAAGATAAGCCGCTTACGCTACCAAAATCTTCAGGACGGATGTCATTTTCGGTCTTACGATTTGCGACGCGCAGCGGAGCAAAGGCAGTCGCTGCGCTCCTGCCGACAAAACGATTCTCTCACCTGGGGTAGGCAGGCCTCGGCTCGCTGAGGAGCTCGGCGCTGGGCCCGCCTTCGCAAATACCGCACGGCCCTCCTTCGGGGGCAGCGTGCTAGCAGTGTACCCATTTATTTTATTGCAAGTTGACAACTGAAATGTTGGCACTTTATGGCCCAACTTGAGATATTCTCCACATTGTGATACAATGCGCACCGTGAGTCGCGGAATTGCCACCTCGACGTCCGTAATCGATGAATCGCTACGCATAATTGCGGTGAGGCCACATTGTCGCCTTTGACAGCAGAACATTGGTTTTATCCTCAAAAATCCTATATATGCATCAGGACTTCTTGCATCTCGCAGCATTTTCGTTTTGCAAGATGCCTCGACCTAATAAGCGCAAAAAAGCACGCATGAAACTTCAAACGAAAGGCTGAGGGCATCTTCTGCAAGCTCAAGCTAAATCGGAATCTACCGTCGCGCCATCCCAGTACCAAAGATTCTCTGGCCAGTACAGCGACTCACCAGAGAGGTACGGGGTTTTTCGCTTCGACGCAAGCAAGGCGCGGAAGAGAACAAGAACTGTACAACGTAGTACACAATTTGGAATTCTACAGTGGGTCGGCTATCGAGAACTAACCTGGGAGCCTGCCAGAACCCTATCATAAAAGCTCAGAATTGACTTTGAGTTGGAGACCATCGACTTTGTGTGACTGTACCAACCTACAAGGAGGAGACAAAGGAAGAAGACAACTACACGTCGCAGCGAACGCATAGCAAGACAGTATCATTAAATAGGTTAAGTTCGTAATTTACAACAACAACAAAAACGAAATTAAGGTGTAATGAAAACAGTACTGTTGATGATATGGGTATCTCCCTAAAATCAGTACACTACTACTGGATTAGGAAAATCCTCAAGAGAAAGCTCTGCTCTATGAATGCGTGTGCTGTGGAGTTTTGCCCAGACGACCTGCCGACTGGAGCAAAACAGCACGGACATCACTGCACCGACACCCGACACCGTCAGGGCCTACCGGCACCCGAGAGGCCCGTCATACTGCACGTTCTAATCAAGCACCGTGTAAACTGCGGACTTCGTCATCAAGAACCAACGATTGGCGCAGCGGAGCTTGTGGGCAATGCCGCAGGCGGCGCCCCATGAGGAAAGCAGAACTAGGGATAGGAGAACAACACTTTACAACGGATATTTCTGAACAATACCCGGGGTACTATTCAAAAGTACCCCTTTGGATTCGCAAAAATGTTACTCTGTATTAACAAAAGGTTACAGTTTGTCATTGCGTCGTACGCGTCGATTAAAGCGATAACATCGAGATCATCATGAAGCCCGTCGAGGTTGATGCTGCCGTCTTCTTCCTGGGTTTCACCACCGGCGTCCCACTTTGCACGGAACTAACATCGTGGCATGAAACGTGGCAATCCATCCAATTCCCGGCGAACCCTACGGCAGCTACAGAGTTTCCATGGTGCTGCTGTCGGTGCCACGCACGCTTTTTTTATCCACTGACAGACTGTAACTACCGATGGCATACGCGGGTTACCAAACTGCGTGCACCCGACCTTGTCACTCTCCTTCCACGCATTAATTTCTATGTAGAGTAGATCTTGAAAATGCCACATACTGAACTTATGGTTATGTTCGGGTTATCCGAAGTCCTCAATAGGTTAACCCCTTGAACGCGAAGAGCCTGGACCTTATACGTTAAACGAAATTTCTTAACGTGTACAGTCCACGTTAAGGACTTGCCTTTTGTATGGTTCCATACGAAAAGCATGTACCTAGGGGTAGGTAGTGTATCCACGGTTTTTCATAGCTTTGCAAACTGTGTCAAAGCCGTGACCAGTTGTGTGCACAGGATGGACATATTGGGTGTACCACACAACCGTTCAGTGGCCACTCATTTTTCTCATTCATTCGAGAATCTCCCCCGTCAAGCTGATATGGCGTTCGCTTCGCGTTGGAGGGAGCTGAAAAAGGATGGCTGGAGGTCAAGACGCCCAACTGGGCTGTCTAACCACTTCACGTATCTCAAGCCAGGCAAAACAAAGAAGGATGTAAGAAGGACAGACTATTTTGTTGGGGAGGAAGAGTTGATGCGATACCTGGACACGCTGGACCTCGGTAAGACACTTGCTGATACGTTTTGGTGATGGATGCTAACTTCTGTGCTGTAGCCGAGCTCGCCCGGGAAAAGCAGCGCAATGAAGGGCATGTAGCAGCCTCACTGGCTTCGGAAAGCTCAGATAAAGGTTAGTAACGTGTATTAGACATGTTTGAGAGTGTACTTATCATGTACCTGTATTGCAGCTCACGCAGGAAGCGCTGGAACAGAACAACCTGCTGGTGAAGCTGCACACGAAACCTCTGCTGGTGCTGGCAAAGATAATGTGGGCGCTTCACTGCGCAACGAAAGCTTGCTCGCACAAGGCAGCCGACTTGCAACGCCATCTCCAGAGAACAACGCAGTCATAGTTGAAGGGTCGCCTCATGGCATATCGTATCCATCTGCGGACGAGTCGGTTGAGAGCAACGAATCCGAGTCATTGCCAGGTACGATTGCTGCTGCTGATTCACGCATTAGGCATCGAATCATAACGCTACTGTTCTGTAGGCTCATCACGGAACCCCAGGAAGCTCGAAAGCGCGTTTCAGGACGCAGACGTCACCAGCAATCACGAAGAAGTGGCCTCGTCTAATGCGGAGCTCACAGACGAAGCAGGTACGCACCAGCATGTGTATGTACACGTTAAACAGTCTGACTAACATGTATTATTCATACAGAGATCAATAACGAGAGCGAAGGTACATGTTAAGGATACATACACTATACGATTGAAGAATAACGTGTATGTTCATGTTTTGCTCGACCAACCATAGATCTTGGTGGCGATGGATACGTGCGCTTGGAATCTGACTCCGAAAATGATGAAGGTGTGAGCTGGGATGCTGATGATTTGCTGGCCGACAACAGCCAGCCCTTGGATGACGAAGAAATTTCACCACCGCCCGAAATGCTATTTGACCGGTCGCTACTTGATGCTGTTGGAGGTGTTGGAACAGTGGAGCGTGGGGCGTTACCCATAGAGTTGCTTGGTGAGATGGCAGAGCGAGGTTGGTCTGCACCAATAACACAGACGCCGTACGACTATCTATTGAACCGTATGAGCCTCGACCTACCAACGCAATGCTTGACGACTATTCACGGCTGTACCAGGGGGAGTTCGGTCCCACATCACGAGCTCTATTAGCTGCTGCAACGCCATCTGGGGCATTCTTGTACTTTGCACAGCCTGGGCTGTGGGACGATATTGCTAGTGCCAGTGAGGATTACTACCACGAGAGCCTTGACGACCGTGTAGAAGGGCAATTCGCTAAGCAAGTGGCAAGGAAAACGAAGCATCCTGGCTTCAAGCGAAAAACCCGCGAACAGATTCGAGAGGAGCTGGATCAGGCTGCGGAAATAACGGGGCGAGAGCTGTGTGTGTTCATCGGGCTGCTGATTGCAAGAAGTGTTTGCTCGAACAAGGAGAAACTTGAGAACCACTGGAAAACCGTGGATGAGGGGGCGATTCCTCGCGGGTGTTTCGGTCAGTTCATGGTTTGTGATCGGTTCATGCACATCACTCGTAACTTGCATTTTAGCTCCAACTCGGATGAGCGTGCACGTACCGAGAAGGCGTGGAAATTGAGGCCTGTGATTGATGCCTTGCAGGCACGCTTCCAGTCTGGCTACATACCCCCAGCCATTATGGCTTTTGACGAGGCCATGCTGCCTTCTCGTTCGAGTTTCAATAAAATGCGGGTGTACATGAAAGACAAGCCCCATAAATGGGGGACAAAGCTATTCATGCTTTGCTGCAGTACAACGGCGTATTGCATTCGGTGAGTCAAGCTAGTGGTCAATCATGGGGCACTAGCTTTTTTTTTGGATATACAAGTTCTTTATCGTGGACCATACACACTAGCACTTTTGCTATCTTGTATGTACAGTTTTGGAGGCATTGGAGATTGCCATTTGAAAACTCCGCAGCAACTACTCAGGTCCACTTCGCGATACCACCAGGCCGCTCCCTACGCTACTACACGGACATGGCCTTGTAGGATGCCTCCGGCCACTCCAAAGTTTCACACGACCGTACTGCAAAAGCAGTTTATGGTGAAGAGTGACTATCGTTGCTGATCAACGCCAGCAGAGCTGCAAACACAGCTTTGACAACACGAAGTGCCTGTCAGAACTCTTGATCTGGTAGGCGGAAAATGAGTTCGGCTTAGCTGCTGCTTTTCTCGATAGCAGTGCGAGCTGAAAGGGTTCTGCTGTTTCCAAAAAATCAATCCAAGTCATCCCGTTATTACGCGCTCTGGGCTTACCGCGTCGGTTAGTTATTCGTCTGCCCAGTGGATGGTCCATTCAAGGCTCACCAAGTTAGAACAATGCATCCAGTATCCGTATACTTATACTTCACCGAGTTTCTCAGCGCCTACCGCTGAACATCATAACGTTAACATGTATGGTGTTCAGAGCTAGTCTGTAGATTCTGTCTACTACGCCTAAAAGTAGTGTTTTCTGGTGGTGATCTTGGGCTTGCTTCTCAAACATTAGATATTTCGCAGTATAACTGGGTGATTTTTGATCTCGAAGACGCCGACTGGCAGCTTTCCCTCGAAAGATAACTTGATCAATTTCTGAGCGAGTGAGACTTCGTTTATAGTCGTGGTTTGCCACGTGTATGCATTAAATCCTTCGTACTTGAATAGTTCATGTACTTGGCAGTTCTCGTTGACGTAGATGCGTTAGGGCCTGGACATCATAAGGTTAAAACTCTTGCACCCCGCGCACGCGCGACAAGTTGAACGAAGGTCGTCCAAGCAGAATGTTCTTTGAAAATCCCCTAATGTTACCTGTAACTCAGTCGACATTTTTGGAACGATACAATATCCGTGATGCCCTACAGGATACTCCGTATCCCTCCCAGTATAAAAAGTTTTTAACCTAATCCACAATAAAAGCAAAGTAATAGATTTATCGAGGCAAATGCACTGGAATAAAAATTATTATGAACCCCTTCTCACCCTACCAGTCATTCGACTACCAACTCTAATAGCCGGCTTATAATATGTACAAAGCTATTATTATTTTGTCAAGGTTATAAATGGGGACATGGTCGCAACTGATTAAGGGCTTCTATTTGGTTAAATCCGTTAATATCTGCCGTTTAAACTGTAATCAATCATTTTACGAATTCTGGATCGCGTAAATGTGAAACAAAAACCCATCAAAACGTAGTGGGGAGCTCAAACATACATGTGTAATTCAAGTATTTGATTGGAATACATCGTATAGCCCACAAGGAAGCCAACAGGATCGCCGTAATTAAACTGAAGAGACGAATTGGAACCGTAAATTAATGTAGGGCGTATCTTCCTCCATCCGCTCGGTAGCCAGAAAAATTGGATGGCTGCGTCTTGGTTTGGTGTGGTACTTAGAATCTGACTCGAATAGGGAGACCCCTATCTCTTCGTGCCTTTAGGTATCTCCATGTCAGGATTGTTGATCCACGTAACAATGGGTTTTTTTTTTTCAGTCATGGCGTCTCGAGGAAAAACACAACCAAAACCTTTTCGGAAAGTACCACGCGTACATAATAGCCCACATGTAGTTGTACCACCCAGCTCGACCGTAGACCGGCGAGCCTTTAGGCGCATACTTGCACGCGTCGTTTCCGTTCGTTCCTTCAGCCCACCAGTAACCTCACCGGCAACATTTCGGCAGCATACGGCACGCAGACGTTGCTGGGGGTGTAAAGCTGAGGCTTGAACTCGATAGCAGCTTTTCCAGAGACCGTGACAGGCTCAGGTTCAGGAAAAGGTTAGATCTTGTCGTGATCAACGGTCGCACTAGCCAAAACAACCAATGCCGCGAAAACTGCCGCGGTAAAGACTCACAGATTCATCTCAACTCAGAGAATTATAGATTGAGTTTCACTGATTCGATATTTTAGTATTGGGTGAGACTGCCGTGCATATTTACGGCATACATGTATTGTGCTTTGCATTCCTTTTTGCTGGTCATCCACGCCACAATCGCTGAGACATTCGTCATTGCTGCGTTTAGACCATCGAAAGTGACCGTGCCTGCCCCAATTGCCCTCTTCCACCTCAGTGATAATGTCTTTCACTGTATCCATTCTTGTTACCTCTCCAGCAGGCCTTCTTTTAGCCACTTCATCTCACATAAAATCGACATGGCACTTGGAGATGCCGGCGGCTAAACGGTACAATAGAGGGGTTTAAACATTATTGCTGCGGATCAGACGCAGGATACGCGAATACTTTTTGTCGTTTTCGTCCGCTGTAGCAGTCCACAGGCAGATGCTGAGCCTGCCTCGCAACCGCAGGAGATGCGGTGACAGCGAACCGCCTACGATGCGCCGACCGAAGTGTGATCGCTGTAGTTATATTGGACTTGTAGCCTCAAACCTTATGCAGTCGCCAGTGGTGATTCATCAGCTACTATTTTTGTAACTCTCGCATAGTTTGAAGCACTAAAGGGATCCCAAAAAAGTGTGTACTTGGCAAAAACCACGAAGCTCTCTTCATTGGAGCACGCTACTTTGGTGCAGCAAATCCTCGTTAAAAAAAAAGATTTTTTCCCCTTAAAACATGGCAGACATTGAACCCATTTATCTGGTAAGCGTCAGACACGGAGTCCGACATTTTCTGGAAAACCGGTATTTAGTTCGTTGTGTGGATGTGTGGCCGGCGGGCGCAACTCGCAACTCGTACGGAAGACGGTAGACACGAATCCAACTGCAATGGAGCGCTATAATTGGGTCTACCTAAAGACCACGTCCGCCAGATTCGCGAGAACACAGTCACAGCCCGCTCCCGAATGACCTACCAGAACTCCTACTGCCATTTTGTCGCTTGATTGCTGGGGACCAAGCACACCTTCGTTTGCTGAATGTATTGGTGGCATTGGGACCTACACTCCCTAGCAGCTAAAGGTGCTAGTCAATGAAGCAATCAACCAGGATCTACGCGTCGACCCCCTCTTCTTTGATACTCTGGTCGCGGAGGACTTTGTGACCTGGCTCGTCACGCTAAAACGAAATGAAGGCGGTGTGCTGAGCTTCTCGGCTCTTAATAAGCACGGAGCAGGCCTGTCTAACCTGTTTTGGGATCACGGCAAGACCATGAGCAAAACGCGAAGCTTACCACCTATTTCAAAGCCCGCTAAACACGTGTCAAATGGAGCTAGCGTGATCAAGACTGACAAAGTCCGCTGATGTTCGATCTGTACAGCTTTTTATATGGTAAAATACTTGTGCTCCCTGGCAAGGAGATGTCTTTTCTCATGCTTACATTGCAATAGCGTGGAATCTTATGTGTCGATCCTCCAACGCGTTTGGAACCCGACACTCTCACATGGAATGGAGAAGCAATGCTCTTCAAAAATATTTCGCCCATATGAAGTACGACCAAAGAGGCGACCGGCCGCGAGACCCACGGCATTTTTATGCCAATCATCTGCAGCCTTCTATTTGCCCAATTATTGCCCTGGGTATTTATTGGGCGTCCACTATATTTGAAGAGAGTGACCTCTTATTCCCCGGTAGCATTCAATATGAACGTTTTCGAAAGTGCTGGAAGCGACTACCATATGAAGAATGCAACTTAGCTGAAACGGCAAGGTCTGGATCCTAGTGAATTGGGTACACACCATGCGGAAAGGTTCCGTTACGTTTTGCTCTTCAGGCTCAACAGCAATTCATTTGAGAGCTGGCTGACCATTTCGGAGATGTCCAAAAACCCTTTTTGCGCTACGAAGCTACCGGAGATATGCATGTCGGTCGGAAAGTGGCCGAATAACGGACGGAAAGCTACAAATTTGCAACACTACCACCTCACTTTAGAGTTAGTGACGATATAGCCAAGCGAGGATTTAGTCTGATTTTTTCCGGGCCTACCCAAAAGATTGGTGCTCATTGCAGAGTACTGTTTGGCCTCACTGACGTATCACCGTTCATACTTGACGAGAGCTTTATGCCTAAACACCCAGCATTTCAGACTCCTCTATTTAAAGATGCAGCGTTGCTATCTTCTCTTACCGAGCGGCTTCAGGCAAGATATGGAAGCTCTGATGCACGAATCCGTCCAACTGGTGTACGACCACGAGGTTAAGCTTCAACTCTCTTTTTAAAGATGTACTACTATTAAAATAGTAGCTGCGTTTGCTATATGTCGATTTTATTTTTGATAGAAATGAGTTTATTCAACACCTCATAGCGCGGATGCGTGTGTGATACTCTAATGCTTCCATATTCGAATTTAATGTCCTTCGATTCAATTGAAGCATACCTGCATCGTCTTTGGTGACCTGCAAGAGAGCTAATAACGACTATAGCCAGTGAGATACTAGCTTACGGCTACAAGTGGGCCCGCTTTAAGCGATTACAGTATTTTATTACTGTAGATCATCGGATTAGTAGTTATGCGAACATTTTTTTTTCAGATGAGAGTGGGTGTGCCAAGCGAATACTTGCTTGAAGCGTTCCTACTTAGTACTTTAACGAAATATTCTTTTAAATATATCATTGCTGCTCAAATTTCAGAGCTTCTTCGTGCAAGGCGCGACTTTGTTTTATCGAATTTGTGTCTATTTTGTTTAAGTTTTTTACTACTATCATAGTAGCAAGAACGTAGATAAAAATATTTAAATAGCACAAGACCTCTCGGGGGTGATATAGTACCTGTACTCTCCAAGATGATTCCCCTTACAATACATAGCACTAAAGTGTATTTTCAAGACGATTCCCCTTACAATACATAGCACTAAAGTGTATTTTATTGTCTAGGGCCCAGACTTCTCTAAGTAGTGCTTTGCGT